TTCCACGTTTGTTTCCGAATCCACCCCGTCTTTTTTTTTTTTTTTGTGTGTTTTTTTTTTTTTTCAGTTTATTCCTTTTTCCACGTTTGTTTCCGAATCCACCCCGTCTGTCGGTGCGTACAGTTCTGACTGCTGCTGCTGCTGCAGGCACACATTCAGTGCTCCGGTTCACCTTCCTCCTCCTCGTCTCCACAGCAACGCAGGTCACGCACAACATCACCTCGGCCACGTCCGGCAGTCCAGTTCACAACCTGCTAATCCCTGCTTCCTACAGACCCGACTTCAAGGGACCAGGTGGGGAGGGGGCTTTTAAGAGGCTTTTAAGGGGGTCTAAAATAAAGCAAAAGGTAGATAATAAAATTAACTTGTGGTAATGTTAGAATATAAGCCCGCTGAGCTTCTTCCGGAGGAGAAAGTTTAGAAATCTTCTAGTTAAAGGGCTTTTTTTTTGTTTGTTTTTTAAAGTCGAAGGTTATAGTGCAAAGAAACTAAAGGGAAGTTGTCTGAACTTTTTAAATCTTTAGAGTCACACGGTGAGTACGTTTGAGTTCACTCATTTGCATAGGCAAAGGAATCTTGAGAATTGCAAACACTTGTTACATTTTCAACTCACAAGCCATTTTTAAGTGCAAAAAGCATAACGTAAGGAATGGTTATGAATTGTAATAATTTCGATTTTAAAATGACAGCTTTCACTGGGCATCAGAACGACGCACATTGTGAAGCTGAATCTGCAACAGAGAGGAAATGATCACATTTATCCTCCAGGTTTACATTTATAAAGTCGTAGATCAGTCTTGAAGCTCGGCTCCTACAGCTTCACTTCGTTCTGCGATTCGGGTGTTTGCCACAAGAAAAACAAAAAACAAAAAATAAAAAAAACGCAAAACTCTCCAAAAGTTGAAAGAAAAAGTTCAGCTGAGTTACTCAAAATAAGTAATGATAAAAAAAGACAAAAAAAATCGTACAAAAACAGACCTCCCGTATTGTTTTATACTTTTTTTTAAAGTCCCATCCTTGTAAAAGATAAAAAAAGTGAAACTACAAATATGAAATCTGTTGTGAGGGATGAAAATTTTCAATTATCTTCACAGATTGTGACCCTGAATTTCTTTTTGCACTCCACAGATTTTAATATGTGCTTGCTCCTGTCCCTAGACAGCCCCCCCCCCCCCCAACCCAACCCCCAGAAGGCCCGTCTCATTTAAACTCATCTTTTTGTTGCGAACGTCACATCTATGCAGGGGTTGCTTCGGGTTAAGAACACTGACGAGATTGCCTCAAAGAAAAAGGACAGAGAAGGATGTTGTGCGTGACCTCGGATGCGACAATCAAGAGATAAAAATCAGTTTTGGACAAAAAATACAGTACGATATCTGTTAATTAAAAAAAAAAACTTTTTTGTTGCTCCGTTCTTCAGATTCTTTCCTCCTTTATGATTCCAGCAGCATTGGTGGCGGTGAAYGCGTCGAATCCCATTTGCACCTGAAGTGAACAGAGAGAAAGAAGAAAAAAAAAAGACATTCAAAACTTTATTTTTATTTATTTTTAACTGAGGCGAAAAGTCAGTTTTATTTCTATTAAGAAACAAAGAAAAACTAAACAAAAGCCCCCAAAAAAATCTGAACAGGAATGCAAAAGGCAAGTGTTGAGCTTGGAGCAGGTGAACCGGGACAATGTGGGAAAATGGATTTCCTATTAAAGAGGAAATGCTTAAAGTTGTTTTTGTGTGATTTGAACAAGGTCCCACAGTCAGTGTGTTTCTAAAACTCAAACAATAAAAACATTACACACAATCATTTTCATTGTCCATCTATGTTTTACCTGAAATGATTTGCTTCAGCATCATGAAGGAATAAGAAATAACATAAGATATATATACACTGTAATAAGCTGCTGTTTCAGGTCATCTGAAACCACTTAAACATGACAGGAAATGAAAAAGTTCCCATATATATTTTATTTTCATCATTTAGGGGTGAATAACATTGCATTTTTTGTTTTATACTTGTCTGGGAAAAGAAACACTGAAGAACTGCACCTACTCACAAGTAGGGGCCTCTGCAGTACATGTTGTCTTGTGGGTGGAGTTGGCCCTGACCCTTGATTGGCAGAAGTCTTAGCGTGGGCGGAGTTGGCCCTACTCGTGATTGGCGGAGGTTTTGGTGTGGGCGGAGTTGGCCCTACTCGTGATTGGCGGAGGTTTTGGTGTGGGCGGAGTTGGCCCTACTCGTGATTGGCGGAGGTTTTGGTGTGGGCAGAGTAGGCCCTACTCGTGATTGGCGGAGTTTTTGGTGTGGGCA